TGACCAAACTGAGCCTTCTGGCAAGGCAGGAAATCAGTGCCACCACCTGTGCTGGACTGCAATGACAAATAGGGGCAAGAGAGTACTTAACTGTGGAATAATATTAGAAATTTAATTCAATAATTAAAATTACTGAAGTCATACTTAAGATACATTAAGCATTTGTCTACATTTTTTATAAGTAGTTCCAAAGAGTGCATTTTGAGTAAGCCCTGCACTTCTCAGTTTTCTTCTGCATTATTTAGTGAAAAAAATCCTCTTTTATTTGTAGTGCAGAATGCCAGAGCTACACCCTTGTGTTCAGTTTAACACTGAAGCTTCCCCTTCTGTGTGCCCTGAGTGGTCTCCAGACTTGGAACTCACCATAATCAAGATGCTATGAAGGTTTTCTCCTTCTGAAAGTCCTACCTACACTGCCTTGCTTCTTGGGTCTTCACTTGACCTGTGAAAAATACCATGAAATTTCATCTTTTCACCCAGCACTGATAGCAGGACATAGCAGGAACCCAGTCTGATTAACAGGAGAGCTCTACCTTTTTGGTATAAAAATTCTTGTAGATAGGACACTTCCAAACTGCTTTGAAAATCCTGTTTGTGTGAAGCAGGCATAGTCTGTGCTGACCAAGTGTCAGACACCAAAAGTTCCTCTCAAATATTTGCTAGCTCCGAAAACTCTCTCTAAAACAATACTAAATAACAGACCAACTCTGGTGTTTCTCTCAGAGCCAGTTTCCTTTTATTCAGTTCCCTCATCAGAGTCAGCAACAAAAAAGTAGATAGAGCAATAATAAGGCTAAGTTTATCTTGTTTCCTCCACTCCCTTTTCTCACTGTATTACTAAGACTTGGAACAATAACAGGATGCCGGGATGCAGGATGGGAAAAGGCTGACTCCCAGCTGGAAAACCTTGGAGACTGGAGAGCTGAACACTCCCAGCATTGCTTAACAAAAAGAGAAGTGGATTTTTCTATTTGATCTTCGCTTTTTGTATTCTGTTGAACATTTTGGGATACTGTTGGGTTTAGTTTGCCTGATTTGGTACCAGACCGAAGCTCCGCCACCTCCGACTTGGGTAAGAGATAAATGTTATTTTCTGTCCTTTAGCCATGAAGTTCATTCCAAAGGGTTTTTTACCTCCACCCAATTTTCTAATGTCTTAAATAATTTAAGAAATACCAGCAAATTAATTTTATACATATCCACCAAATTCTTCAGGCCTTACATGGGGCGGTGATGGCACCACACCAAGTACAAACAGCACAGCTGTTTACAAGTGACACTGGCAGAGGAAAATCTCTGGCTTTGTTGGGCTATACCAGAATATTCCCAGATTGTTTAAAAAAGAAGAGACATTCCATGGTGTTTTTAAGTATTGCTTTGTAATATTCAGATTGTGTTGCTGATGTTCACTCATAATGGAAAAGAGGTGGAGATTATGCTGCCAATTGCACCTGTAAAGCCTTGAGGAAGGGATTTCACTCCTGGTGTGGACAGGTGCAGCTCCAGAACTGTTTGCAGTGAGCAGGGGTGCACTGGGCTGGGATTTGGTGCAAATGTTTTATTGAAGTGAGGGTGGATTTGGTGGATTTGGGCTCTGTCTTTAAGGTGGGTGGCTTTCCTGTGCCCAGGGCCAGGAGGTGACAGCCACGGTGTGCACTGGCCAGCTCTAGCATATCTGTTTAAAACTGAGAGGGGAGTTTATACAAACTCAGGGCAGTGATTTGATCTCCTAATTCCCACATTTAAAGCGTCCCAGGTACTTTAACACCCTGACTCTGGAGTGCCAGGCTTTACAGACCCTGCTCTAAAGGACCAGCAATTCTTACTCCAGAGGTTTCTTGATCTTGGTGGTTCAATAAGACCCTTTTTTTTTCTGGTGAGTTATTTTATGACACAAAAAGTTGGTTGAAAAGGCTTTTATCTTGTCCTAGAGCCAGTGTAGCAGGTCCCTGAACTAACAAGCTCACTGTACAGCTTGCAGAGACAAAGCATTTATGCATAAGAGATGAACTGATGGTGGTTTTTCTGTAAGAAATCTATTCTGCAATAGTGGGACTGTCAGTGTGCACAGCACCTCACTGTGCTGGCTGTCAGGCTGTAATAAAGATAAAGGAAGGAAAGAAATGCAAAGAAAAAAAAGATGTGGAAGAAGATGAATTTCTGTGAGAAAATCTCTTCCATTCTTAGCCATTCCCAAAACCATTCTAAGTTGGCTGTTTCTGCAGTTAACAAAGGTATAGTTAATCAATGTGCCCCTGCCTCCTGTGAATATAAATCACTAGATCAGCATTTGTAAAAGCACACAGAATTATAGATGTTCATGCAGGAAAATATATTAGACAAAAGCAAAGATGCTCCAATGATTTACAAAAGCTTCTCATCATTGGTTAATTTGTGCCTGGTAACAACAACCCCTATACCAGAAACAAATCACAGAAATGCTGACTTGAAATTTATCTCTGGTATCTCCAGGAGGTACTTTTTATCCTTAAATAAAGGGTGAGCCACAGGAGAAAAGGACACAGGATGCATTTAGCATAGGAAAGCCTTAGAAATGTACAGTATACTAGAGAGAAGAATGTGAATTTACAAGCAATAAAACAAATTAATTTGAAAGCAAAGGATAAACTTGATTAAAAAAATCATTCCTGCTTTGCCCACAAAGCCACAAACCTGGGTTATTTTTCAGATTTCTACAGCTGCACTGCAGTACAACAGGAAGCCTTTCCCAAAGCTCTGCTCTTTAACAGAAGACCATAAAACTGTTCTTTAAACATTTTTAAAACAAATGCTCACACTGAAATTGTGTCCTGGAAGAAGAGCATGTCCCTGAGTGCAGCTCACAGAGGGCTGGACGTGGGGCACAGAGGCAGCTGGGGCAGGGCAGAGTTAACAGCTCTGCTGCCAGCTTTGCTTCACATCCTGCCTCTGCTGGGGGAAACTGCTCTGAAAACAGGATAGAGGTAAAAATCAGGGGCCATGGTTCAGAAACTGCTCTGGTTCACAGCACTTGTGGAACAAAGGACTTCACTGTCCATCTATAAATCAATTACTTCAATTAATATTTCAAATTCAGAATAGAAAAACTTCTGTAAAATTCTCTTTTCTTGTCTGGGTATGTGTCTGCAGAAGTAAATTAGGCCAGAAAATACCTTATGCTTTCTAAAAGACCAGAGGTTCACTGAATCAAGATAATGATTATTTATGGCAGCTGAGCTTTCTGTAAGGAATCTTCATTGCATTTTCATTATAATCCCAGGTTTTGCTCAGGTTCCACAAGTTTAATTCAGAGGTTCCAATGTTAGTGCCAAGAAGAAAATAAGAGGTTCCCTTTGTGAGAAATTTGTTGGGCATGAAATTACTTTGGTGTCTTTTTTTTTTTTTTAAACAAGTGGGTTTCCCTTGTTATCACTGTGAGTTTGCAAACCAAAAACCCGTCACAGTTTAGCACTGGGGTGAGAGGTTTCCCTTCCTCCCCAGGGATTATCTGTGATTTGCTAGGACAGATGTGCCCAGCTCACAATCACCAGAACAGCTCCACACAGGCCTTGAGCAGCAGGAGGAGAGCAGACCCTGGTGAGCCCAGAGCTGCCTCTTGATCCATGGGAAGAGATTTTTTAATCCACTGTGGGCTTCCCTTCAGAGCTCTGCCCCACCAAGGGATGTGCAGGTGTAGCAAACACAGAAGACAAGCTGCTGTCACTGTCATGGCCAGGAGCCACCAGCTGTGCTGCTGAGGAGCTTCAGGGATCACAGCAGGCAGTGCTGGGGATAAACCTCTGCAAAGTGAAGGCACAGCAGCTCAGGACACTGCCCTGGGCAGCCATGCAGGAGGGACTCCCACCCCAGACTGTCCCTGCTGGGGCTGGAGCCCCTTCCCAGCTCCAGGACCCTACACACACCCTCTGCCAGACCAGGATTCCTTCCCAGCTCCAGGACCCTACACACACCCTCTGTCAGACCAGGATTCCTTCCCAGCTCCAGCCCAGGTTTCCCATGGCACAGTCTCAGACATCTCATTCCATAAAGCCATTTATTCCTGGTGCAGGAGCACAGAACAGCCCGAGCTGGTGCTCCCCAGCAGGGATCCCACCCAAGGAACCCCTGGGCTTTTACCCCTCACAGTCCAAGAGTGCCAAAGTCTCTCTCCCTCCTGAGCCCTCGGTTCCTGCCATGTCTCTGGCTGTGCCACAGCTCCCTGTGCCCTTTGCTGTGCACAAATCTCCTTTCCTGGGGCTCCAACCATTCCCAGGCTTCAGCCTGAGCTGCCCCCAGAGACTGCACAGAATGAATTCCTCATCACACCCCTCACCACTGCACCTCCTGAATTCTGCAGTGAGGCTGGCCTTGGAATATGAAAAATTAATAAAAAATTGTGAAGAACCTGTTTGCACTTCTTCAGTACAGGAATACAAATTAGTCCCTTTCATTTGATTTTCACTCATTTGCATCTGAATTTCAGATCTGGCAATAAGAATGGAGCTGGCTATATTTTAAATGCAAGCTTTTGCTGAATATGTTAAGTTCTCTCATCTCATGAAATGGGAGATGTTTGTGCCATGGGTCTGATCTGTGCTTTTGCTGCTGTACACATCTCTTGGGCAGGCAGGGAGATTTGGGGCCCAGCCCTCCCAGGTGCTAAATAGGACACATTTACAGGACCTGGAGCAGCTCAAGACCTGAGATTTGCAGGGCTGGCAAAGACAGGAGAAGGGCACAAGGGCAACTTATCCCTCCATTGCACTGCCTACACTTCAGTTTTGGTGCTCTGAGAATACTCCAGGAAAGGTTTATAATGTGTAAACCAGAAAGAATCAAGAGGTGAACAGAGTCTCTGGTAGACTTTTCTCCAAACAAATATTTTTGTGTGAGACAGAGAGTAAAACTCTTACAATAGATTAGCAGCTGCATGTGAAAGCTTTATTAAGCATTATCCACAGAAGTACAGGAAATATATTTTTTTTATAATAATATTTTTTTATAGTGAAAAACGACGGATATTTTAGGGAAAGGTAAGCATGGTTACCTGGACAAACTAGGGAAATTTCACAGATACCTTCCCAAAGAGCAGCAGAGAGAAAAGAGTGTTCTTCTTGCCCTGGCATTGCTACCTGAAATGCAGGGACTTACAGAGCACCATAATAGTTAGAGGTAGACAAAAGGGCAAAAATGTTTTAAAATAAATTCATTTTTGAAACTCAAAGAGGTCACTTTTATTGTCCCAGCTGTCATCAAACCCTTCTGTTCCTGTCCAATTTCCCCAGGATCCCCTGCCCCAATCTGGGGCTACAGAGGCCTCTGTTTCTGTTACAATCCTGTTCAAAAGCCACAAAGCAGCAGTGACACATCTGGCTTTGTCCCCACTGAAGTCACCATTTCTCTGCATCCTCATCTCTCCAGACCCAGCAGAAACACCTGGAGTGGTGTCCCTGGCACCTGGCAGAGCTCAGCCAGCAGACTCAAGATGGGTACACAGAACACACTTGGCCTCATTGTGCATGACAGTGGGAAGGGAAATTCCACTTCCACCTCCTGTCTGGAGGATACACTCGAATTCCTTCTCCTGCCTTTGTCCACATTTCTAAGCAATGCTCTGGTAGCACCAGTCTTCCTTTTCCCCTTCCTTTAATGATGCTATCTGCTGTGAATCTGTGCTCTGGGAATCCTTGAGGAGCACAGAGCCTGCCTTACAGCATTTGGCTTGAGGAGACCAAGCGCCTGGAGCTGCTGTCCTGCAAATGATAGGAAATCCTGCCATTGATGGGAATGGTTCCTGTGATGGGCTCAGCTCCATCAGCAGAATCCCCACTGGCACAGAGCTTTAGGTTGGCTTCTCTATTCTATTTGTAGGATTGTCCCTCCCTCTACCTCCAGCCCTAGACCTGAATTCAGAAGAGATTTGAATTGTCTTTATGGCTTTTGCTGCCTTTATCTTTCAGATATAAATGGTCTGTCTGCAAGACAAACAGTTTACTCATGACTTGATGGTCTTAAAGGCCTTTTCCAGCTTTAACAATTCTGTGATTCTGTATTAAGATTAGGCCAAGCAATCAAGATTAATAATAATGTATCAGAGTTCTCAAAACCTCCTCTGGGAACCCAAAGCTGCAATGAATTAGTGTGTATTGGCTGTTTGTTCAGTGCTGTTCATTTAGGGGTTTAGGCTGTCATTAAAGCATAAACAATGATTGCACATTTTAGATCATTCAGATAGTCAGTGCACTCCACTCCAGACACAGATTAAGAGGTGAGGGCAGAGAGCAGGAGAGCTGGAATGCTTTTTGCAGTGGGTTCATTTTACAAAGACAGAGATGTGAACTCGACAAGGACAGAACAATCACAGAGCTCCAGCCTCTGCAGCACCATTTAACAAACATCTTCACTCTGTACCCTGGATTTGCAGCAGCAGCTTTGGTAAAAGTTTAGGACTAGAGCACTGCCAGATTAGAATACTGAATTTAGAATAGAACTGAATGAGTTGTGCTTGGATGTGACTTCAGTCCCAAACAGGAAGAAAGGGACACATTTCTCTGTGGAATGTATTTCTCATTTCCCTTCTGTGGAATGATGAGCTGCATCACCTGCCAAATACAGACTGACCTGCAGCTTCTGCAGATGAAGAGAAAGGGTTTATTCACACCAGAAGGGGTTTTCAGTGGCTGGGATTAAAACGTGAGCTGTGGCAAAAATAAATGTTCCACTCACACAGCCTCTGAAGAGAAGAAAAAGTTCCACCTCAGTTTAAGAAATATCTTTGTTAAATCACAACCACTCCCACATAGAAACAAATCCACACTGAAGAGTCATACAACTTACAACAGCTTTCCTCATCTTTTTAAGCTTCTCTGTGTCTGAAGTTTGTATTTCCAGGCTCTCCAGCTTTCCTTTATCAGCACATTAAACTGGAAATTTGCTCCCCTAGTTTTATTTTGACTTAAAGATGGAATTTTCCTGACAAGAGCTAAGTTGTAACTAAAACTATTGAAAGACTCATTGTAAATTCACAAGAGCAGTAATAATATCATTTGCATCATCTCACAACACATGGAGATAATACAATGGAAGTGTTCCAGGAAAGGACTGTAACTCCTTAGGGGTGGACATAAAAGGTCTTAAAGTTAATTAAGCCTGGTCTACAAGTCTTGTTGGGTAAGGGCAGGAAATAGAGAAGAATGAACTGACATTTGAATGAGACATTCTAAAAAGGGAGAAAACTACAGAACACTGAACAAAATCTATCCAGACACACCCTGTTTCTTTAGCCTTTTGCCCAGACAGAAAACAAGAGATTTATGTATATGTGCATGCTTTCTTTATCTGCCACAACATTAATTTTCAGAGGAAATACTAATGCATTCAGTTACCCCAGAGAATACCCTGGACAAAGGAATGAGCACACACAGCCAGCTAAGCAGGGATTTTTTTGCTGCAGATTACTGTTAGTGCAGTAAATATCAATTACAGTGACCTGGGCATGATGCTCGTGTTCCACACAGATACTTTTGCTCCTGAGCTTTTGTTAAACAAAAACATGGAGAAAAAAATCTTATCTGCTGTAAACACAGCTACATTGTACTTTTTAAAAAATCATATTTAATGCAATGGTTCCTCAAAGGAGAGGGACTTTTCCTTAATGAGGATGGGCTCAGCTGGAGCTCTGTACTAGGAGGCCTCTCTGATATTAAGGATTTATGTGGAAGCAAAGGGAAAGTGGAGAAAGCTCTTCAATACATTATTCTTCTATGTACCTTATATTCTTTCAGCTTGGCCAAAGCCTGAAACACCCAGTGACAGCTTCAGCCAAGTTTTGTAGAGATGAGCTGACCAGGGGGAGCATCAAGACAGACCCAGTCCAAAAGGTGCACACAATTTATTGTAGGGAGCAAAGAGAGGCTGGGGAAGTCTTTTCAGAGATCACAAACAGCTCCAAGATGCCCAGACTATTCCACTTCTGCACTGGAATGAGCAAATGATTTTTGGAGGATTCTCTTGTCCTCCTGCTCCCCAAAAATCAAACAGCATTGAAGTGTGGGGGTGCTGGGGATGAGGGAGGCTCAGTGAGACTCCTGCACCTCTCTGTCCCACTGATCCTCAGTTTGGGATAAGCAAAAGGAAATCGGCTGAGAGGAAACAAGAAAAAAAGCTGGATCTACATCCAGGTAAATATGTCACAGAGATTGAGAGAGAGCCCCTTCCCAGGGGAGTACACCTGATCATCCCTGAAATTTGCTTTTGGATACAAGGAAGGGAATAAGTTCCTTGCCTGTCTGCATCACTGGCACTTTATCACTATTTTCAGCATCTGCCTTTATCAATAATTAATCCAGATGGGAGGTCTCTTCCTCTTTATCTTGGACAAGGAATTCAGAGGGGGAAATGTCTGCAGCTCCAAACTATGCATGCAGGGTTATCCCACCCATCTTATCAGCTCACTTCAGAGCAGAATGGCCGGAGTTAATCCCCAGAATGGCTCTGGCTTCAACAACATTTGGCAACTGTCACAACAAGACATGTGGCCAAGAGCAAACTTTCTGTCATTTGATTGTTTGTTTCACCCCTGCAACATCTGCAAAGTAAATAAATCATATCAGTCATAGGTATTGTGGGATTTCTGATCTTAATATATGAAATGCTCTAAACCAGAGAGCAAAAAATGTGTGACAGTGATGATGAGGTGAGAATATTCTGTACCAACCCCAGCTCTGCCTGAGGGTTTGAGCACATTCCCTGGACACCAGAACACCCCTGCTCCTCACTCAGCCCTCATAAACCTGCTCCCAGCGACCAGAGGCTGTAAAGAGCTGCAGCAGAGTACTTTGTGACCTTAAACTCCATGGGATCCATGCTGTCAACAACTGAGGGAAAGCCAAAATTTCCTGTTTATGATAATATTTTTATTTGCTATGAAACAAAATCAAAAATTGGTTTAATAATTTAATCACAAATGAGCTTCAAAATATTTCAGCAGCTGTGTTTATACTGGGCACTGTGCTTAAGCACATTTTATTTCTTGTTATATTTTGGACTGACATATTTGTACATTAAGGAAAAGGCTTTATGCATGGAAAGACTGGACAATAGCACTTATTTAAAGGAGTCTGATCCATTTTGGGAATACTTCAGGGAAAGGAAAGCATTATGTGAGTGCAGGAGCAAGTGCAGAGTCAGAACCCTCAAGTACCACCAGAACATTTCAGTGCTTCATGTTTTGTATCTGTCCCATTTCAAACTGGTTCTCATCAGCTCTCAGGTGTCTCTACAGCTTCTATGGGGACAAATAACATGATCATGAAAAATGAACAAAGGGATTCTGCAGAGACACCATCTGCATGCTGAGAGTGCAAAATGAGGAAGATTGTTAAAGCTCACCTCAGATGTGGCTCTGACAGACCTTCACCTGTTTCTCTTCTGGGCAGGTCAGCAGATTTACCAACACTGGGGATTTCTTGCTGGACATACCAGGATGGTCACAGAAAAGCAGTCATCCCTTGAAACAACAATTAGCTGTATCACTAATCTGATGAGTAGAAAGTCTGTACTGTCACTGCTCATTTTAATGACTTCAAAGCATTGTTTTACCTCCATCACATTTGTCATCCACAGCAAACAACCCTCAGTTCAAGAGTGCACTGTCATTTCAACAACAAATATCATTCAAGAATTATTAATTTAGCTAGACCAAAAATAGTTCTCTCTTAAGGTCCATGAACAGACCAGTAACTGAAACATCAACATATATTTAATTTGCTTCTCAATTACCAGATTTACAAGGAAGAGACTCAGATAAAAACCAGATTACTACAGATTGACAGGAAAATTATTTGATTAAAAACGAGAATAGGAATCAAAGCTTGTGCCTGTGGCCCAGAGGAGCAGCCTCTCTGAGGTTGCTCATTCTCCTGGGTAAGATTGTTGACATGACACAGAAATATGTCCTAGATTTTCTTGACCTACGTGGAAGTTGCACACTTTAGTACAGACTCTCCAGGTCTTCTTTTATTAGATCATATAAGGGATTCATTTCCACAAACTGAAGGGTTTCAGATCCCCAGACATATTTAAATTAACACTATCCACAAAAGGCTACATGTACCAAAATAACACAGGACAACCAGTCACAATCTATCAGCCCATCCTTCCCAAATCTTCCCAGGAAAAGAGATTCTTTGAGGTTTTCTTGAATTCTAACAGCCAAATTCAGAGGTGATTCTGAGCTGGGCAGGTTTTATGTACAGGGAAATCAAGAACTCAGCTAAACAACTCTGTATTTCTGAAGAGGAGATTAAATCTGAACCTACACCAGAAACACACATTCAATAAATAATTTTATCCATTCTTTATCAGATACAAGTCATGTATGAGCATAGACAGCACCCTCCAAACTGCAAATATGCTTCTGAAAGTTTTTAGAAAATGCATATTAACTGAAGGCTAACTAGAAATTGGGAGAAACCAGCAGAGGTTAAAAATCCTTCCACCTTGGAGATTTTGGGCCTTGGTGCCTCACTGGTAGGACTCTCTCAATCAGATTTATCAGCAAGGAACAAAAGGGATCTTCCTTCCTCACTCATTCTGTTTACAACCAGAATCTTCTTGGATCACACATTTCTGATTTTCAGCTCACACCCTGCCTTCTCTCAGGGTTCACTGCAGCACTTCAAACCAGCAGGTCACTCACTGAAATGCAAGTAGGGGTGTCAGGATCTCTGGGAGGACTCTTGGGTAGATTTATTTTTGCTGCTCACCCATCTTTAGGGCACAAGTTGTCACTCATTAGCTTGGAGAGTGGTTTTGCTTCTTTGAAAATGAAAAAAAAAAAAAGAAAAATTAAAAAAAAGAAGGTAAAAATAAGGAAAAAAAAATAAAAGGGAAAAATCCACCAAACCAGGTCTTTCCTCCCCCATTTTCTTCCCAATTCTGTATCTGAGATAACTTAGAATCTAAGAAAGTTTAGAGCACAATTTGCCTGACTGCTTTCCACCAGGGCAATAAGCATTTAATGTATACAAAGCAAGTATTTACAGGTCTTTTATAGCCAAATAGTCCTTTATAGCCAAATTTCTAGATTTCCAAAAGAGAGATCTGTCCTGGCTGAGGACTCCATCCACCCATGAGACTGAAGTTGTATTTTGCATCATCCAGAAGAAACTTTCTGGTGAGCTGAACAGACAGGGAAAAACAATCCCAAACAAATAAATTCCCCACAGACCTACCAGAAACTCAAAGCTCAAATCAAAAAGCAATTTCAGATTAGAATTAATTCTCCTTTTTCCTGGAAAAAAAAATATGAGGAGCCAAAATCAGAAGTGCTGAGTTATTTTCTCACCTGTGTTTATACAGTGCTGCAGCACCAACACCAAGAACTGAGCAGCATCAAATGCAGCACGAGTGCTCTCACAACACTGATATTTTTAAAGAAGCAAGTTTGCTTAAAATATTGCTGAAGTATCTGTTCATTCAAAGGTACCATCCCACGTAGAAAATGTCATTTTCCAATTGGTTTTCAGGCAGAATTTGCACTCCAGATTGGTTAGTGCTCACAGTGGTTATTTAATTAAATGTACCATCATTGCATACAAAATGGCATTTTAGAACCAGCTCCAGGCAGGCATTTGCACTCCAGACTGTTCAGTCATCAGTGGAAATCACTTGTCACATGTATAAAATCGACACAAGGACAATCACAAACCCAACCCCAGGTAGCGAGGCACGAGGCCTGTTGAAATCAGCTCGATAATCCGGAAAGGAACAAGCAGCAGAGTGTTCCCAGGAAAGGCCTATTTTGATCGTTGTGCCTTGCTGGGACATGTGACAGACCCAGAGAAACACTGAGTTCTGCCCTGCCACACACTACATGTGAAAATGCAAGAGAAAATGATTCCTCTGAGGGAAACGTTGCGCGATTTCCTCGGGCGGCCGCTCCCGGTGTCACTGGGGGTTGAGGTTCCTGTCGGGCACCCTCAGCTCCGGCCCCACAGCAGCGCCACAGGACACACAGGGGAACAGGACAGAGGTAAAACAGCTGGGGACAGCTGGGGACACACCTGGGGACACCTGCTGCTGCTCCCCCAGGAGCTGGGCACAGCCACAAGCACCAGTTCCAAGCTGAGGCAACTGGGACAGCAGAACCTGAGAGCGTTGTCATCGTGCCCCTGGTCCCTGTCAGGACCACAAACACACCTCTGTGTTCCCAGTGCCCCTTCTGGAAGGGACAATGCTATTTATCTGCCAGCAGGGCTTGCTGGGGACAAGAGGAGCTTTATCAGCCTTCTATGGCCCCTGAAAGGCAGCATTAAGTATTGCTAAGGCTATTTTCTTTTAATAATGTTCTGCCTGCTCACCAAAACCACAGCCCTGCAAAGGAAAAAGATCATTTATCCCCTTCTGTGTTTGGTGTGTTAACTTTCTGTTCCTTAGGGTTTGCTGCATTCCCACATATACTTTTGGTCTTAGCCATCCTATAGATGAGAAATTAATGTTAAAATGTGTGGCCAGGCTGTTCAGAATCATTCTGCCCCAGTAACCAGGTCAGGTTCTGCTCTCTGTATCTGCCATGGTTTCATTGAGCACAGAGATTTTGGAGGTGTTGAGATAGTGTATCAAAGTCTATTTTTTCCATGTGAAAAATAATTTTTCAATGCTGTCTAATGCAAGAAAGACTATTTTTTTGTATGTTTTTTTTTCATTTTCATTTACATCATTCAGATTCCAGAAAGAGAAAATAATCTTTCATTTCCAGCCTTTCTCACAATCAAGTGAGTTATGCAAATTATCTCATCAACACAGACACGACCCTTTTAAAATGTGTTGGTTTTCTTGTGTATTACAGCCACTTTCAGCAAATTTCTCTCTCAGGGTGTTCATTATCACCACTCTACCACTATTTGGGTTTTTTGGATGCTGAAAAATTCACAAATATAAGCATAAGGTTTTAGTATGATAGACCAGGAAAATACATAATTTCAGAGGCAACTGTCCTTCATTTCCTAAAATCTCTGTACAGAAGCCTGGTTTAACTTTTGTTTCACATACAAGCATAGAACAGATTTCTTTGCCAACTAAACTAACCCTTGCATAAGCATTAATACACATTTTTAGAGCTAGAAGTAAACTAAGCAAAAGACAAATACCAGAAAGGAAAAAAAAAAACCACAAATGTTCATAAGAATATTTCATCCAATGTGGCTTCATTACATGGAGACTGTATTTATATCAGCTGTTCATCACCTTTACAGTTGATTACTTGCCAAAGCAACCTGTAAAATGTAAACTTTTAATTAGTACAGTATTGTCTGTATCTCCACCCAACATTTTTTAATAATTACTCCCAGTCTGGAAGATGAAACTGCACTATATGAGTCATGTATCACATAAATCTCTTTGAATACCAGAATTTCTCAGTTAACTGTCTATAGTACCCTGCAGACCAAGACTTATTTGCTAAAATAATTCAGCACATAAAATGAATAATATGGGTGGGAGAACCCATCATTTGCTGGAAGAAAATTTAAGAGCAAAGAAACTTAGCTGCTTGAATAAACAACTCCCTGCTAACTTTCAGGAACATTCATGGTCCCTGATTAGACTAAAAGAAGCTGGGATAATTGGGCTAATCAGGCAGGGACAGAGGGATAACTGGGGCTGTGTGAGGGCAGAGCAGGGCAGGGACTCATGGCAGCACCCAGGAGATCCACCTGCACTCCCAAGCTGTGCTGGAAGCTGGAGGCTCCTTGCTTGAACAGATGTACCTGATTCCCTCAGTCCCAGCAGACAGGAAGGAAGGAAGAGCTGATCCTAGAGGAAAAAAGGAAAATCTGATCCCTACCTGTTAATAATCCCCTGTTATCCCTCAGAAATGTTCCTGCTTCTGACTCCATGGGAATGCATTCTCCTGCTCAGCCATGGGAATGTCCCTTTGTGCTGCTGGGGAGGAGATCTGTCATGGCCAGGAAAGAGAAAGTGGCCTTCCCACCAGGACAGAGCCCTGCTGTGTGTGTGCAGCCAGGGAAGGGCATTCCTGAGCATCAGGAGGAATTCAGTGACACTCAACAGCAAAGGCTGCTACATGGAAAATGTGCGTGGCGCCACAGGGAAAGTGTCCTCAGGGTCAGCTTGTCCTACAGGGCAAGGCACCTCCCATGGTCCTGGAGAGGAGTGAGCAAAGAGCTCCAGTGTGCACTGTCATTTGCCCAAAATGAGCAGCTTGAAAGATGCCAAAGATGAAGCAAAAATCAGTTTTTGCAAGAGGCTCTCCCACCTCAGTCTGTGTTTGAGCTGCGGTGCCAGAGCAGCCAAGGAGCTCCAAACTACTGCCAAAGGAACCCTTCACTTCCCAGGGAGGTTGGAAAAATTTTAACAAGGAATCCATTAATCAGGAGTTAAAGGAATTTAAACCTCCTTAAAACCTACAAACACAAAGCTGGACATGCTGAGTGAAAGGGGCAGTAAAGTTTCAGCTGGAATGCACAAGTACATAAAGAAATTTGATCAGCACTTTCTAAGACTGTCACTACAGGAGAGCTCCACTCAGCACAGGAGCAAGAGGAAGAGGCTCTTTAAGCACCTCAGTCTGTTCTTTACCAAAACCACAGCCTGTGCTGGTTGGAATTGTCCAGTGGCTTCCTCTGGTTATAGTGTTTTGTGGTTTTATGGTTAAAAGTCAGACTTGTGCAATCACAACAGAGTCATATCACTGCCTTCCAGTTTCCAGTTGTAAAATGTTCATCTACACAAATAAAGTATAGAAAAACAATTAAATCATACTCATTTTTCTAAAAATGTTCACAGTCAAGCTAAGGGCATAGAAAAGAAAAATCTAGCCAAATCAAAAAGCTTTGTTTGAATCCAGAAAATTCTATCAAACCCAGCTCAGCTACCAAAAAGCAGCTTCAGAGGCACCTTATTCAGCCACTTTCTACACAGCCACAAAGGATGAACATTCCTCAGTTTATGTACAACAGTGTGGGAGAGAGAAAAGTACAGCAAAGCAACATTTCATGGTAAATAAAATCTTTTTTACTGACATTGATGCTGCACCATGGGATAACACTGATTGCCTGGTTACCAAAGAGTAATTCTGGAAACGTCTCAGTACCTTCCTGACAAAAATATTAATTTAATCTCGCTCTAGCAGCAGTGTGATGTCAACTTCTCATCACAATTAGCGGGTTTATTTTTGATGTGCATGCTGACAGCTCCTAAAAGCTAATGGAAAGTCATTTATGTGCAATTTAAAATCTGATTACTTGAGTGTTAAAGTTCCCTGACAGTCCTTTATATCAGGAACGGGAAATTTAGTAAGAAAATGAATCAGCTTTGATACATTAAAATAACTGCTCTGATATGAAAGTCAGGCCTAAAGTTTGGTAATATTAACACAGGATGCAAAAATATGGTTTCACCTGAAAATCATTTCAGGTTATTATCATTTTGCAGACGTTAAAGTCTGGGAACAAGGGATAAAGAAACTTTATGTGAGTCTCCAAAAGCTTCAGAAGACAAGGAGTTGAATCAATAGATGAACTCTTAAAGAAAGACAATTTGCTGTATTGTGCTTGGAATTGATTGAAAATTTCACACCAATAACTTTTCCCACCAAAAAAAAAAAACTCTCAAATTTTATTCTAAATCAATATTTTCCATAGGAAGATATTGACTACAGCACATTTTGTATTTGGGATGTCAAACCACTGCATTTGGGTTTGTCAAGCCTGAACATTTCATTTCAAGAGGAGTTCAGCCATGGCCAGGCTGCCCTGGCCCTGTGCACAATGGGGACCTGGGCTCTGAATCTGCTCCTCAGAGCAATGACAGCCACTCAGGGGGATGCTGGCTCTTAAACCAGCATTCAAAACTTGAAAAGTCTAAATACTTTGTGTTGGTTTTTACCGTTTTCATCCAGCTAAAACGATTTCATAGAAGCAAGAAGCCTTCAAATTTTGATGAAACTGCAAATGGAAAGAAACAGAGTGATCAAACTTCCCTATATAAATGGAATGTCCATTTGCACTTCTGCATGTGCTCCCTGTGCTGAATCTAATTCTGATGTTCTTTACATTTTTGCATTTCTATATTACTTTCTAGGCTACAGAAGAGGATGAGCCACCTTATTCTGCTTTTCTCGTTGTTCTTGGCTCCAGCATTTGGTGATGGAGGAAGTCAGAAATCAACCCCAAACCTTTGTTCAAATGATGTCAGCCACAAACGCCAGAAGAGAGACTGGATATGGAACCAAATGCACATCAAAGAAGAGATTGATACACCTTTGCCACACCATGTTGGCAAGGTAAGCAGTAACCTGTGAGCAGTGGCTAAAATAGCAAGTAAGGGTCTTGAAAAGCAGTAGTTGTTTGCAGTCTAGGCAGGAGAAAAGAAAAAGAAATAGAAATGGGACTTAAAACCTACATATTAACATGTTAAAATCTTCAAAATGTGGGCAAAGAGTAAATGAAGAATGGTGCCAAAGGAATTTTAATTCCTTTGAATAATACAAGTAAATTTAAGGGAAGAGTGGGTCTGGAGATTCCAAATGCAGGAGCAGCCACATTATCTGCAGGTGCATGGTTAGGAAGGAGGTCTGGTGCCTGATGCATGTCAGGATTTTTCTGGCAGCACAAATTTCTTTCAGAAACCTCAGAGACCAGCAAATAAAAACATATGTATTTAAAAACACACAGTTTACATCTCTCAGCTTGTACACAAAACACGAATACTATTTTTCAAAATATCGTTACACAACCAAAAATACTGTTGCACAAAGCAAAAGCAAATTTAAAAATACTAACAAGTATTGACCTGCTTGCAAACTCATTTTCCTCAGGGCAGTGCTCATAAAAGCTTATTATCAACTGCAGATCACCCAGGAAAGCTCTCCCAATCCAGTGTTTCAAAGGGATGCACTGTGACACTTTGCAGATAAATGCAGCTGAGCACTTCCCTGCCCTGTTCAGCACTCACGTCTGTCAGGGCTGTCTCAGCAAAGTCACACAGGCCTTGCTGCCAGAAAGCACCACAAAGAAATCACAGAGGCCACAGGGTCCTCTCAGCTACCACAGGGCATCTCTGCTTCATTTCAGACCAATTCAGCCCCAGATTGAGGAGCAGTTTCTATTCCTGGAGCTGTCCTAAATAAGAGTAATTCCCCTTGTCCAGCTCTGGGCTGTTTCACCAGCACAGTCTCCTGATGGTTCCTGCAGTGGCTGCTCGGTGCATCTGCAGCCCTTGATAAACCCTGTAAAGAAAAGCCCCAGGAGCAGTGGAGCAGGGCTGAGTGATGGCTGCAGGAATGTGCTGACCACACCTGGATTTTATCTTGCACCACCTCGGTGCTTCCCTTGGTGTGCTCATCCTCAGCCCCAGAAAGGGCACTCTGAGAAGTTGATGCTTTTTACACTGAATAGGCACATAAAAATTGAGAAAGAAGGCACAGACCATCCCATCTTTGAGACAAGGGTGGGGTTATTTCTCCAGAGTTGTGAACTGCTCTCCAGCCATCCCAGCAGCCAGAAGCGTGGTTAAGGGATGAGGGCTGGAAATATTAATGACCCATTTCAAAAGAGAAAACCTAAACTTAAACATTAAGTAAATGACAACTACAGGAAAAATCAAATCCTGAACACCCAACAGGTGACATTTATGATAACATCAGTAACAAAAGGCTGGAAATACTTGGTCAAATCCATCAATCCTTGATAATTAGCTGACTGAAATAAGAATGCTGATATAGCACATGGAAAATCGTAGTTTAAACCTTCTAGCAGTGACCCTGTATGTGTGAGGGTACAGAAAGGAAAGCATCATCAAGCAGTGTGCAAAAGCATTTGGAATTGGATCAAACTATATCTTAAAACTGATTAATGTTCATTCCTCTTATTGCATCCCTTTTGCACTGCATATAACCTTAAATTTTAAAATCTATGAGGTGGAAATGTAACCTTCCTGTCAGAGCATGAGCCTGAAGACTGCCTGTGAAAGGATTGCACGTGACTGCGTACCAGAAAGCTGTGAGCTGTGGCAGGAATTCACTAAATACTAAGGAATAGAGGCTAATTCTGAATAATGTCAGGAGCTGTGAACACAGATTTCCTCCTGTAATCCTGTGAAACTGAGCAAAAAACCCTGGTAGGTCCAGAAAGTTGCAAACAAGAGAAACTCAAACTGAATGGTGTCTTGTGTTATTTCAGACATAATGAAGTTAATTTTTTGTAAGTGTTGACTGTGGGAACAACTTATACCTTTAGGAAATATGAGGTATGATTTGAAAAAAGCTTTGTTCTTTATAAGCAATCAAGTTTCAGTGTGGGTGCAAGCATCATCCTGTAACCCCAGCTGCTGCTGTGGTGCTGCTTAGCGCTGCCCCACTGACAGCCAAAGTTCCCAGGGCTGCTCTGGTTCCCAGTGGGATGAGGAATTCCTGACTGTGTGAATCCTCTGGGAGCAGCTGCTGCAGCCAGCTGCCAGACCCCACCTTTATCTCTCTGAATTCTCCTTCCAGATCACATCCAGTGTAAGGAACAGCAACGCCAAGTACATCATCGAGGGTGAATATGCCAACACCATCTTCAAGGTGGAGGAGACCAGTGGGGACGTGTACGCCTTCGAGAGGCTGGACAGGGAGAAAAAGGCAGAGTATGAGCTGACAGCCCTCATCATTGACAGAACAAACAACAGGTCCCTGGAACGCCCCTCCAAATTCATCATCAAGGTCTACGATATCAACGACAATGCCCCCGTGTTTGTACAGAAGGTGTTCAATGGGTCTGTCCCAGAAATGTCACCAGTAGGTATGTCCTCTGTCACTCATCTCCCTTCATGGCTGGTGTTAAAAAGCACAATTTATATCAATACTCACCTTGAAAATCCTTTTCTAGGAACCTCGGTCACCAAAGTGACAGCTGTGGATGCTGATGACCCCACAGTGTCAGGTCATGCCACGGTGACCTACGAAGTCACCACAGGAGGTGAATATTTCACCATTGATGACTCTGGTAAGTCAGACACACAAATGTCCTTACACTTTGGCCATACCCTACCCTTTGAAATAAACAGTTTTAAGCCTTTTTCGATCTGGAAAAGAGCAGAAATCATTCAAAATATCATTTTAAACATGATTTAGAAAGGTTTCTCATTCACACTCCACAATGCCACTGTCTGCATGTGGAAATGAACAAATAAAATCAGGATATCAGCTGCCATGAACAAAATGAGAAGATAAAAGGTCATTTTTTTTCCCACTTATGGAAAGACTGACCAGGAGCTAAGAGCAGTTTATGTTTTCAGTTTGGCATAGGTACAGTTCCAGTGACCAAACAGGAAAAGGGAATACACAAATTCTGAAGCATCATTCAGTAATCAATAATCATTTGCTTTCCTAAACTTTCTAGCTTAAATTTTGCCCAGTTTTAATACCAATGTCAATATCTCTTGTAACCACACTAGTGTCCTAGAGCAAAGGACACAGGTAAAGAGGTTAACAATCCATTACAAGGAATATTCTGCATGAACTCTCCTAAAAGCTCTCTTTTCTGCATCTCTTCCATCATGCAGAAAAATTTCTAACATTTCTTGAAAAATACCACTGTAAAATTGGTACTTAAAGCTGAACTTGTGGAAATAATAAAAAATAAACATTTGTTGTCAAAATTGAAGAGATGTTGGACGTGCTGCAAAATCTAACTGCATTCAACATTATTCTTTCACAGGTGTGATTTATACAAAAGAGCCTAATTTAGACAGAGAGACCAAGTCAATGTATGAGATTGTTGTTCAAGCCAAAGATGCTCCGGGATTTTCTGGGGATTCCAGCACAGCCACGGTGATCATCACTTTGTCTGACATCAACGACAACTTCCCAGTGTTCAAACACCGTGAGTGCCACCCATCCTCCAAACCAGCCTCAAACCAGGGGCTGCCACAAACACAGCGAGTTTAGCTCACAGACCAGCACAATTCAGCTTTCCTTAAAAATGGCCAAAAGAACTTTACATGTTCAGAAGCTCTTCTGTGTTTCAGCCAGAGCCACTTTTCCTGGGCAATGCACACCTAGAGCAGAAAACAAAAATCAGTATTCATTTCTTCCCTTTGCTAAAGATCTTGACAATTTGGGGTATTACTTATACTTTTACATGTCTTAGAGATACACAATGCTAAATTCTCAATGAAATATTTTTATGTGCATCTGTCAAGTAAGAACAGTTTTAACTAAGTTCTAACTTCCATGTACACACTCCTTACATATTTTTCTTTTTTTTTTTTTAACAGCATCATTTCACTTCAAAGTTCCTGAAAACATTTCAGTAGGAGGAGAAGTTGGCAGAGTCAAAGTAGAAGATATTGATGAACCACAGCACAGAAATACAAGATACAGCTTTATCCAAGGAGAATTCAGGGACACATTTGACATTGTAGCAAATCCATACACAAACGAAGGAATCATTAGGCCAAAGAAGGTACTTTTCCCCATAACAAAGATTATTATTGTGGTTTTCCATGTGTAACAAGTGATTTTTTGGTTTAGGACTAGCATCAGGAAGAAATAGAAATGCATGAAAGTCAGCATGAAATATACTGATCCTGAACACCAGGTCTCCAAGCTCTGGAAGAAGAGCTGGTGGTTTCTAGTCCTTTTCAACCTCCAGACCTGAAAAACTCCAGAATCACTGCAGAGTGCAGTAGGGGTTGTGTCAGATATTCAGGTTACACACTTTGGGTTCCTCTCAAACTTCAATTGGTTGGATGCCTCAAAGAACAGTGATTTAAGAGTTGAACCAATTGGCCAAGTCAAAGAATCCTTCCCTTCTGCAGCCCACGTGAAACCAAAGCAGAAAATGTGAACAAGTCCACCTGACCTCTTTTCTAAAAGTCTCTTTGCAGTTCGGAATTTTCTCCAATCCGAGCCCTAGCTCCCTTACTTTCCTCAGGGTATTTTCAGAGCTTCCCCACTAATGTCTTATAAGTCTTTGAGACTCTCCAAAGCCTTTATTAGGGTCTGTTCTTTGCTTTTTTTGAGTTCTCAAACCCACTTGATTTGTACCAAGGGACTGCTGCAGAGCATTGCCAGGCCAAGATTTCATTGATTTCATTGACTTGCTGTTAAAACAAAAAAGAGGAGAGAGGACTATAAATCAGCTCCTGTAATCCTCAGATAGACACAAATGTGTTTTCCCCTTCCAAATGTCTCTCCACAGCTGCTAGGACTAGAAATATCATTAGGAAGAGAAAACTTTCAGGAAAAGCGGTGCCAAGGATTTCAAGACTGGCAGTAAAATCCTTGGCTGTGGTCACCAGTGGGTATGAGCAGCTCTCCTTCACCTGGTGCAGCTCTTCCCCCAGGAGCTGGGGACTGCAGTGCCTGCCCAGAGGAGGAGCAGTCACAGACCCCTCACACACTCCCTGAGAGATTTGGAACCAGCTCTTCCTCCAACAGACAGTGGGCAAAGCTCACCTCCCCGTTTCGCAATGTGATTTTGGCCATACACATGCCAAAATTTTAAATACAGGGCAATGTGAGATAAAATGTCAGCTGGTGGGCAAGTCCCATCACTTCCCTTTGCAATGTCTACTCCAAGAGAAAAACAAGAGTCATCAAAGCTTCTGTGAATCTCAGTGTTTTTACAATCTCAGGTGGCAGAACAAAGGAAGCCTTGAAAGGAGCATTTCTTACTGCCCGAGCTCCTGGCCTTCCTCCCATTGTGTGACCCCTTTTATAGTCTCAGGCAAGGGGAAAACAGGGAAGAGGATGTCATTTATCACTAAATGCCCCAGCTGACAGCCAGTGCAGATTTGCAATCTGCCTTGAGTGCCTTCAGAACACAAAGCTTCACCAAGAGGAGGATCTCTTCTCCAGCCTTTGGGAGACAGGAGCTAACCAAGTTTTAGTAGTTATAGAATTATAATAATAGTAGCATTATAGAAAGAAAATTATTTAATCCAAAAGAAAATTATTTTTCTGAACTTAAACTAGTGGATGAATCTGTTCCACACCAGAGGCAGTGTGAGCCACACTATGACAGAGAAGTTCAGCTGGGAAATGCTCTCCCATGGGTCCAGCCAAGACGAAATTGGGTAACATTGCCAAACATGAATTACAGCCCAGATTTAAATCTGCACAGAGAGAAAAGCTTGCTTAGACATCACCAATGGAATATCTGTAACTGTCTGGTTTTTTTAGCCCCTGGATTTTGAAACAGTATCAGAATACAAGTTCAGCATCGAGGCCACAGACCCCACCGTTAACCTTCGGCATTTCAAACCTGGCAACCCCCGGAGCATCTCAACGGTCACCATCGAAGTCACCGACGTGGATGAGCCTCCTGTCTTCTCCAAACTCCCATACGAATTTAAAGTGAGGGAAAATCATGCAGAAGTAAAAACACTTGGTTCAGTTCATGCAGAGGACCCCGATGCAGCTAAACGGAAAATCAGGTAACACAACACCAGCTTTACAATCCTATTTAAAAATGCAGAATCCATTAATGGTGCCAAGAATTTGACAAACAGCCCTGACTTTGGCCCTATTTCTTTAGAATCTGCATGCCAAACAAAACAAAAGAAAATCCAATTTAATTTTTCCAGCACTGCAGCCATATATATGCTGGATATATATGGATATATATGACCTATGTAATTACCACATGGACTTACTGATAAAACATTTGCACATTTAGGGAAAAAAATATAAACCTGGATATTTTTACATGCTTATAATTTAGTGTTATTTTTTTTTCTTGTAAGAGGTCTCTCAATCCTGTGCTTAGAGAAAAAAAAAATGGGCTTCTGAAAGAGCAAACTACAGTACTCTGGAAACTCTTCTGACAGATGTATTTCATTCTCACAGCTTGCATAGTTCTAGGGCAATATTCTCAGCCCTCCTAGTCAAGAGATTAATGTAATTTGTCACATAAGAACTCTCTGACCTTCCTCTGTGAAGAAATTAAGTGAAACAGCGTTATCAGCCTTGCATTGACATATCTTGTTTTAAACAAAAAACAGATATATTCAGCGTAGAGCAAGTCCCAATGGTGACTACGTCAGGGTATCCAATAATGGAGTTATTCAACTTCCCAAGCCTCTGGACAGAGAATTCAGCTCCTCATACAACATCACTGTGGCAGCTGTGGAGATCCTTGAAGATGGTAAGTGCCACCCATTTCCCAGTTTGAAAGAAATCCGGGTGCATTTTTCCAACAGGGCTACCAAAAAGGAAAGGCAAACCTGACAGCCTGTTCCTACTGAGCTAGGAATAAAAGCAGTGCTTCAAGGTTTGCATCATCATCTTCCCAATCAAACAAGTCCCTACAAATAGATCATTTTAAGATTTGACCCCTGGCTTTTCTCAGCTCCAGGGAGTGGGGAAGGCCAGTCCCAGCTTGGTTTGGTATTTCACAATATAGACATGGGCTGATCTGTCCAAGTGGCTTTAGTGCCAGAGAATGATGCTCAATCCATTGCCACACAGTGGGAAGAATCAGGAAGTCATCAGATACTGTCATTTTATTCCTGAAAGATCCTTGATGATTTAACCACGGAAAGTATCTAAATCTCAGAGGGAAAGTTTATGTTATGACAGGGCTGGAAATTCTTCATGATGTGGGAGGCACAGAAATGGGCACAAAGTGTTGGAAGGAGAGTTTAGGCAGCACTGGGACTCCAGACCTGTGACCTGTTCCTTGCTGTCATTCCAGGCCGTCTTTCCGACAGAGAGTCACATGCCCACGTTCATGTCATAGTTGATGATGAAAATGATAATGCTCCAGAACTTGTTTCTCCTGAGGAACCCCGAGTGTGTGAAAATGCTGCACCTGGGAAGGTGAGACAGGGACAGCTTTTCCCTGAAACCTGAATTACTGCTTGTCAGCTCAAGTGAAAGATGTCTTTTAATAAAAGTGAGTCTCAGTTTTCATGCCAAAGCACCTGATCATTTCACTGATTTCCAAAACATCAGTGGTCAGGAATATCTCTTAAGGATATTGTGCTGTTGAAATATTGACTTTTATCTGCTTGCACACATGGGCTGCACTGCTCCTCTCCCCCCAGTCTCTCACATCTGTGTATTAACAGTTGAGCCATGAAGGACAGTCAAGCTCTACACAGCAAGAATCAGCAATTCAGTTCTATCACAAAAATGCTTGAATGTGATACTGAGAAGGAAACCATTGCAGACTAGTAAGGGAAACATTGCTGCATGGAACAATATTCTGTAGCCATACAGTACAGAGATCTGCACACACAAATTGTGTACTTGGCACAGTGTTGGTGTTTTGGTTTTACCTGTTTGGCCACAGACACAAGTGCTCAGCCCATACTGTAATATTTGTTTAATTAAGACACTTTGTGTAGTGGTTTAGGGGTGATACTCCCCAGTTTAGTGTTCCTACTGAAACTCGAAACCTCACGCTTTTCCCCTGCAGCAGAATGGAGAGGAGAACTGGAGGCACAAAAGGGAAGGATCATGGGCTGAGATAAGAACAATTTGCTGGAAACAGCAATGTGCTAAGAAAATGAACACTAATAGCAACAACATAAAATACAAAAAAATGAATAATATATATATATATATATATATATACGAATAATTAGAGAGAGTGTGGAGCAGCCACGCCATCCAAGGTGCTCCCTCTGACTCAGCATTATCCCACCACTCCCTCCACCACACCTGCTCAAACAAAAGGAACCCCTTCTCCAGCAAGAGAATCTCTTTTCCTCTCCCAGAAATGACATGAGGTGATCAAGAATAACCATGGTGCTCCCTCCCAGCTACTGTAAAAAAATTAACTCTTTCCCAGATGGAGCCAGGACTCTTTGTCACTGCCTGGACTCTCTGATAGAACATGCAAGGTATTCATTTCACCTTTAGTTTAATTTTTAAAATACCTTTGGGACATAATCAGACACATTTTTTTATATTTTATATATCTAACGTATCATCAGGTTGAAGATTTCAAAACCCAAGCATGTCCTTCAGGCATGGCAGTCTCAATGGCATTCCAAGAATAACAGTCACACCTCAGAGTAGGCTGAGGACTTTAGAAGACACCATCTTA